TTCTCTTTCTATACCGTTTCTAATTGCTGAGGACTCACTATTTCCACACCAGATCGCTTCCCTGCCTGTCCGAGGGTAGTCCATTCCTACCAATGCCGACAGATGGTAGTACGTCTTCGAGGTTTCAGGTAGGCTATTTCATACTTATATATACATACATACATACATACATGCATACATACATACATGCATACATACATACATACATACATACATACATACATACAAACATACATATATGACATGACATGCATGCATGCGTACATGCATACATACATATACATACATATATATATACATGCATGCAGTCTGTCCAACTAGAATGTATCTGAGATTTTCCCTTAGGTGTCTACTGATAATATTTTGAGTTGGTTTGGGTCACACAGTGCTCACTCTAGCTGTGCAATCATCTCATGATACACATTAACCACATGTTCGTATCCTCATCTTAATATGTGCATGTCCGAACATATGTATGTGTGTTGTTTGTAAATACGCACGTGTGCATGCCCGTAGATATGCATGTGTGCATAACCGTACATACATATATGCGCATGTGTCACACAAATACGTATACAGATCAGTTGCAGTTGTGTATACAAACATCCCGGCAGTGAGCCTAGCGGTAGAAGAACATAAATCACCTAAGCACAAACCTGCCACACAAACATGACACCGCCAGTGCTATATGTGTGCACTGTACATATACTTGACGAAACATACACTCAGCACACACACACACACCGACATTGCTATATGTGTGCACGGTAAAAATACCTGACGATTTATACACATATCCCCACTCACAGAACACATCCGAGAAAGACAGAGACAACAGTGTCTGCAGTCCCAGGCTAAGCCCCAGTCCAAGACTACCCGGCGCACACAGTGAACTGAGTGCATTCCCCGCACTCCACGGAGGGGTAGATAACACACTCCCGCCTACCCACCCACACAAGCTCAGTGATGGTAAGAGCTACAGATATCCACACACCCATACACACACCCTGGGCCACGAGGCAATGCTCCCGCAGGGGCACACACACAAGACGCCCCAGGATACGATACAGGGGCATCCCGAGACACACCCTCATGCAGGCGCATTCGCTAACATAGGACCAAGCACGCCTGCGACTACACCGGTACAGAGCTTTACACATGTCAACCAACATGTGCATATGAACAGAAGCGCGCACGCATTCGAGCCAACACACACACCAAGTGATGCGAAAATAACGGCTGGTACGTCTTTATCTGGCATTCTGAAGATCATCCGTGCAGCTGCGAGTAGCCCGAGTGTGGGCCCAGAC